CAGGGGACACATGAAACTGCAAACACCACCAAGCCCTGGATGTATAACGTATTTCTCTAGACATACTAACCCATGATAGAGTTTAATTTATAAATTCGTTTATATTTCTTTACGGGTGAGTAGTACTCCATTATATAAAAAAACCACATCTTTATCCATTCATCAGTTGATGAGCATTGGGCTATTTAGCTATTACAAATATATATCACTGTGGTATGATGCTTTTAATTCTTCTGGGAAGATACCAGAAGGGGAATACCTAGGTCAAATGGGACCTCCAATCCTAGTTTTTTGAGGTATCTCCACACTGATTTCCACAGTGGTTGCACCAGTATACACTCCCACCAGCAGTGGAGAAGGGTTCCTTTTTCCCCACAGCCCCTCCAGCATTTGTTATTGGTTGATTTCTCGGTGATAGCCATTCTCTCTGGGGTGAGATGGAATCTCGATGTTGTTTTAATTTGCATCTCTCGAATGACCAATGATGTTGAACTAGGTAAATAGATGCACCTTCAGACCATACTTGAGACCATACTCCCAAGGGAAATAAATCGGACACACGCTTGTAAATATCATATTGTCTCTCTGGTGTGAAAAACCAAAAATGTAAGTAAGGACCAAAATGTACAATAGATATTGTGAGATGGGAAGAAAATGGTCAGGTGGGAAGGGAACTGGGGAGGGGGAGGGAGAAAGGAAGGAAGGAAAAGCAAAAGCATGATGAGAAAAGAGGGAAACAAAGCTTTTGTAAATAAGGAGGGGAGGAGGGGTTGAAGGGAGGGTAGAGAACGGGAAAAAAAGAATCAAGACATGTCATGTACAGGTAAGTATTCCCTGTGATGAACGTGATTATCATGTATATCTAAAATGTTGAGGATAGTGATATGTAATGTAACAACCACTATTGATTCATATTATTTTGTCTTGAGACTCTGTATCACTTTGAGTGTTCTTGCTTTGATTTGTTTATGTTTGTGATACTGGTATGCTGCTACTGTTCTATTTCTTCTTTTTTATTTTTTGTGGTCTTTTTGAGACAGAATGCAGTTCTGTCTTACCTGTACATGACATGTCTTGATTCTTTTTTTCCCGTTCTCTACCCTCCCTTCAACCCCTCCTCCCCTTCTTATTTACAAAAGCTTTGTTTCCCTCTTTTCTCATCATGCTTTTTCTTTTCCTTCCTTCCTTTCTCCCTTCCTTTCTCACTATGCAGTTCAGGCTGGCCTTGAACTCACTTTGTAACCCAGGCTGGCCTTGAACTCGCAATGATCCTCCTGCCTCAGCCTCCTGAGTGCTGGGATTACAGGCGTGCACCACCATGCCTGGCTCCACTGTTCTATTTCTTTGTTTGTTTGTTTCTCATTTACTACTCTCTTTAAAATAAAATAAAAAACAAAAAAACAAAAAACAAAGAAATCCACCATCCACTTCACCATCACGAGCAGCGGGTAGATGTTCTACTGAAATTATACCATCCGCAGGTGTAAAGGAAAGGCCAACACAACAGTAAAGAGTGTTCAGAGAAGCCCAATACAAAAGGAATTCAGAAACAGACTAGGTACTGTTGTCCAGATTTAATGGTGCATTGTGTACTGAATGTGTTAAGATGCACTACACCCAGAAATTATGGGATAAATTGGATAAAATTATTTTTATATTTCCTGTTATTAAAATTAACTAAAAAACTGCAAAAAAATTTATAAATTAGGCATAGTGAGAGACTAACAATAAGTAACAACAAAATAGACTGATTTTAACAACATATTGTAATGAAAGTTGTTTAAAACCTATAAATCATTTATTTTTAGAATTTCCCATTGGCTACTTTGGGACTGTAACTGACCACAGGCATGAAGCCGCGGCAGTGAATCAGCAGATACAGGGTGGGGGCGGGGACTGACGGATGTCAAGCTGATAGCCATGGCAGACCCGAAAAGCACTCTTGTTATCCTAAGCTTATGCCCCAAAGCAAATTTTACATCTTTCCTTTTAAAAACAACACATACATAATAAGAAAAAGAGGGCGATGCCCGCCTGTCGACCATTCAAAATGAACAGTTCGAATTTGTTAACTCCCGGTTTTATTAGACACAGTATTTGTGTCCTGTGGAGTTGCTGGGGGCACTGCGCACTGCAGTGAAGATGGAGTCCTTGCTCAGCGGTCCCCGTCGGGTTTCCTGGGAGCTCAGTTGCATGCAGCCATGAGCAGAGGGCAGTAGGTTCTGTAGGACTTGTAGGCGTCTTCCAGAAACAAGAGCATCCGTGGCAATGTTCTGGAACCTGCTTTATCCACTGCATTATATGTTTTTAAGATTTATTTCTATCAAAACATGGAGACCTAACGTACTCACTGCAAACTCAATGTGGGGATTCCAGACTCAGCAGGTAGAAAATATCAGTCACCAAATGTTTTGGGCACCTCTGAAGCAACACTTCATCCTCCCAAGAACCGATGCCTCAGCACAAGGGCCGTGTGGTCTGTGGTAAACAGAGTATGTCTTGGAGGAGAACCGGACCTGCCACCCAACCCCAGGACCATCCCTCTGATGTCGTCTCCCATCATGGAGACACTGGGATAGCCCGCATGGGATAGCCTGGTCTTTCTCTGTCTGGCAAACTCCTGGATGATCTTCAAAAAGCCAACACAAATGGTATCACCAAGCATAGAGTCGCTGTGAAGTCAATGAAACTTAAACTTCAGATCTCTCATTTGCAGACTTCTACCAAGACCGTGGGAGGGGTTTAACAATATGTTCATGCAGAAACATATTTCTGGAAAATTGTAGGATAGAGATTTTTTTTTTTCACTGAGAGGCATCCAAATCCCACAAGCGTCAGTCCTCTCCAGACCTGAGTCTGCACCAATCTCTACTCTGGTGACTTTCTGTGGCCTCCTGAGAGGCCCCGGTGTGCTTTGTTTTTATGTCCGATGCTCACCGTGCAGTATGGTTCATCAGCTCGTACTTGATTTTGCTAAACTTTACAGAATTTCTCTGTATGCATCTGTCTCAACAGCCGTTAGATGTGCACTGCTGATGGAAATGTGAAAATGCAAATGGGAATTTGCGCCTTTCTCTGCTAACCGTCCCACCACCATTGGACTTGGCCACCTTCTGTCTTCTGAGGCACCTTCCCAACGGCCTGCTCCCCGAACACAAGCAGACAGGGAGGGACCAAAGGGGACAGAGGACAGCCAGAGTGGAAGAGCACTTCCGGGGTCAGAGGAAGGGATATAGAAGAAAATCACAAAAGAAGTGATGGGAGCTCAAATAGGGGAAGAGACAGAAACGTGGGTCCGTGATCAGGAGAGAGGCTGGGTTTTTAGTGGGAGATGGTTTATTTTAAAATAAGGGAGAAAATGCAGGGTACATTTTTAAAAGGAGATAGAGGCTGGGCATGGTGGTGCACAGCTGTAATCCCAGTCCTTGGGAGACTGAAGCAGGAGGATAGGCTCGAGTTCGAGGCCAGCCTGAACTACATAGCAAGACCCTGTCTCAAAAAAAAGAAAAGAGGTTTTATGATGGATTATCCTGAGGCACCAGCAAATGCCACGCCCTGGCGTCTGTTTCCTGCTGGGAAGTCCCCCCTCCCCGCATCAGCTGCATGCTTCCTTCAGCTTCCTCCGAGAAGCAGCCTCCTATGGGAAACCATCCCGAGCCCCCTCCAGAGCACACGCCATTTCTCCCTTAGCTCTGCCACTGAAGCTGTGCGCCAGCGTCACTCCCCGGCACGCGCTGTTGTCTTTACTTGGAACCTCGGCGCCGTGGCTGAGCTCTGCATCATGAACTTTCTTCCTTCTCACCCGACGACCTTAGGGCCCACAGCGAGTGCCAGATGGAACGTTCTGAGGCTTCGCACTCCAGGTCAGCCTTTGTTCCTCGGGCCCGGACTGAGCTATGAGCTGGAAAAATGTGATACGAATGCGTCGATGAGGGACAAGGGGGCGGGCAAAGCGAAAGGCAAGAGCCCAAACATGTTTGAATGCGCTTCCCGTGGGAAAGAGCCTCTCACTCGGGAACAGTTGCCTCCCTTGTTTCCTGGGTTTAGGGGGAAGTCACTCGCTCTGTAGAAATCACCGAGAAGCCGGTGCTGCTGCGCAAGCGATTCCGTATCCCCAGTGCCGTGGGCGCTGTGTCCAGGGCGGGCGCACACAGAAGCTGACCCATTCACAGTGTAGACAGAGAGTGCAGCCATCAAACTGTCACTGGGTTAGAGGAGTGGATGAATAATTTAGCTTCCTAAAAGTTAACATTTAGAAAAGACCAGACTTGCAAATTCCAGGAGATGGGAACTGCCTGGAATCAAGTGGCCTGCTCTCTAGAATTAAAAACTAAACAAAATGACCTGGAGTCTGTATGGTGACCTCCCAGAGAGCCTAGTTTTTTGGAAGACTGTGTCTCATTACGCAGTCCAGACTGGCCTTGAACTCGCAGCGAATCCCCAGTGCTGGGATTACAGGTGTGCACCACCACGCCGGGCTCCACAGCCAGACTTTTTGACAGATCTGAGGGGCAGCAGTGAGAGGAGCCAGCTCCCTGGGCGGGGCTACAGGGCCACATCATGCAACTGCAGTTCACCCACCACTCACCGGGCTCCTATCAAGCTGGGGTGAGCTGGGGGCTGGGGATGCTGAGATCACCAAGCCACTGTCACCATCGTGGGCTCAGGGCTATAGGGCTGAGGAGAGACTCTAAGACAGTGCGTTGGTTCCTGGAGTGTGTGACAGAGCTGCGGCCGGGACAATGGGAGGCGGGAGGCCACGGCCTGGGTTTGCACTGTGCTCCGAGCTGTCGGGTAGAAACCCTGGTAACTGGCTTGAGTGCCCCAGAGGTCTGAGGCTCCGAGGTAGCTGATGATCATCGGGCAGCTCCAGCAGCAGCAGGAGATTTGGGGTGCAGGGCAAGGGCCCCACAAGGGCAGCTTTGCTCCTCTGCCCACTGTGATGGAGCAGGGCCCCTCTGCCCGCGGTGCTCACCTCCTCTGCCCTGGGCATCTGCAGCATGCCCGACTTCAGCACAGAGCTCCCTGCAGGCACCGCGCCTTCCGCTGCCCAGGCCGACTGGGGTCCCCACCGCCAGCGCATCCCGATGGGCACAGGTGCTCTGCCAGCAGACGGCAGACTCCACGTTCCAGCTTCTCTCCTCTCCGGGCACAGAGCCAAGTGCCCAGCCTAGGTCTGTTAGGACGAAGGCGGCACAGCCCTGCTACCTTGGGCAGGAGAACGCAACTTCTGTCGGAGCAGCAAGAGGGAAAGAAGCCTGACGCCAAGGAAGCCCTGCTGTACCTGTGACCTGCGGAGAGGTGAGGCCAGGGTACAAAGGTGTGACCAGAATTCCAGAGGCAGACCCTGCTCCTGGGACCGCGGAACACACAGATGTTTGGTCTTTAGCAGATGTACTTGCCCAAAAAAGCAGGTAGGAGAAAAGCAGCTACAATATCAGCGAACTCTTTTTACAAAATCTTATGCATACCTGTGTGTAGTACATGACTACACTCCACATGGGGAGGTGGGGCGTGCACACAGCTCGTCTCAGGGCTTCCCACTTCCCCTCTGCTCCCCGCTCCCTCCTGCTCTGTCCCCTTCTCTTTTGCAAAAGATCTGTCTTCCTGTTTCCTAGCATCTTTCTTTTGTTTTGCCCTTTAATTTATTTATACTTTGGGTTTTTCATTTAAGAGAAACTATGTGATACTTAAATTTGCACGTCTGATTTTTTATTTAGCATCATGGACTCCAGGTGCATCCATTTTCCTACAAATGACTCGTTTATTCTTCTTTACGGCACCATAGTGCTTCACTGTACATAAATACCACATTTTCTTTATCCGTTCGTCTGCGGACAGACATATAGGCCGCTTCCAAGATTTCACTATCAGGAGTTGTGCTGCTATAAACATGGACATGCACGGGTCACTGTAATGTGATGTCTTTAACTTTCAGGATATCCAGAAAAGGAACAACTGGGTCACATGGAATTTCTAGTTGTAGTTTTTGAGGACTCTCCATGCTGATCTCCGTATGGTTGTGCTAGTTTACATTCCCACCCACAGTGTAGGAAGGTTCCCTTTTCCCCCGCAGCCTCGCCAGGACTTAATCAAGTTTGATTCCTTGATGATGGTCCTTCCTTCTGGGGTCAGATGGAATCTCAGTGCTGTTTTAATTTGTGTTCCTCCATTGGCCAGAGATGCTGGATTTTTTTTCATATACATTTGAACGTCTTCTGAAAAGTGTCTGTTCATTTCACTTGCCCATTTTCTGACCGGGTCTTTTATTTTGGGGGGGAGGGTGTCCTAATATTTTAATAAATTCCTAAATGTGGCCAAAGTATGCTAATTCAGAGTAATTGAAACCCGTGCTAGCTCTTTTCAAGCGGCCTCCAAGGAGCGCTCAGGAGAAGCCTGGAGCGGGCACCAGGCAGGACAGAGCAGGGACAGCGGAGAGGCCCCATGTCCCAAAGCCCAAAGCAGACTGGCCGGCAGCACAGAGGGCAACAGGCCCAGCTTGGAGGCCCTGGCGGAAGTGCAGAAGGAACGACCAGCAGGGCCCTGGGACAGCACCGGCCTCAGAGGGGCACTAACAGGAGCCAAGACGGCGGGGCGCGGTCCCTGGGCCCGAGGAAGCCGGAGCAGCAGCCCCAGGCCAGCTGAGACGACTAAACGCACAGCGTGGGAAAGTGAGCTCCCACTTTCGGGTCACATCGGGGTCGTCTCCGGGCCCCGCTGCTTCCTACTCCGGTGACTAGCTGCCTCTGCCTCTTGAATCTTCCCCTGGGTTCCTCAGCCCCAGGGGGCCAACCAGGCTCCGTGTGGGTCGCCCTTCCCAGGCTGCAGTGGGGCGTCTCTCCAGCGTGGACACTACTGTGGGTTCTGCTCTCACAGGTCTGACTTTCCAAGGCTACCATTGTTTCGCAGACGTTTCTCTAGGTGTGCGCGGCTTTAACGCTGAGTGATTAATTTCATCCCTGTTGCATGATCTTGGCCAGAAGCAAAAGTTCATTTGCTTTTCAACAGAAGTATCGAAGCAAGGCAATACAAAGGGAAAACATTTTCATAAATAGTGTAGAATTCTCACATAGAAATGAACCTCAACACCCACCTCACATCATACAGAAAATGTTACTCGACATGGAGCATAAACTGAAACATAATGTAAACCTAAATGTAATAAAGCTTTTAAGGAAACTCCAGTATAGGAAAACACTTTTAAAACAAGAAATAGAGAACATCCATAAAAGAAAAAATTTAATAGATCTTGTCAAAAAATTTGTTCAACAAGTACCTGTTAAAAAAAATAGGCAAACCACAGACTTTGATAAAACATTTACAAAACTAAAGACTAGTATCTAGGATGAATTAAAAAAAAAAAACTCCTGTAACTGAATAATAAAAAGATAAACCAATCTTAAAAGGGCCAAAGGATATGATCAGATAGTTATAAGGAAGATATGAAAATAGACACTTGAAAAATTGCACAATATCATCAGTCATCAGAGATGCAAATAATTAAAACAAAAAGACATAACTACTACACAATCACTAGAATGGCTAAAATTTAAAACACCACTACCACCAATGGTGAAAATGTGGAACAGCTGGAACTCATGTACTGTTGGTATCTCCCAGTTTCTAAGACTAAACATGCAGCTATCCTGTGACTCAGCACTTCCACCCCAGGCATTTAGCCGAGAGAGATGAGACGTATGCCAACAAAAAGAATGCTCACCTTTATAGTTCCCAAAACTAGAAACTCCTAGGTGTTCATCAGTAGGTAAGAGGATATACAAACTGCAGTATATTCATGCAGTATAATATTTCTTGATTAAAAAAGGAAGAAATTACTGACAAAATGTGAATGAATCTCAAAAATATGCTAGATGAAAGCCAAACAAAAAAAGAATATACACCACTGTAATACTGTAATGTAGTATGATTATGTTTATTTGAAATTCTAGAATAAGCCAAATGAATACATGAAAAAGAGAAATATCCGGCAAAAACAATTAAAGTTACTATAGAAAGAAAAATCAGATTAGTGGTACACCTGGGAAAGGAGTACTAGGAATTACCTGGGAAAGGCCCGAAGGGGAATTCTTGGGATTAAAGTAATATTCGATGCCTTGGTAGAGGTTTGGATCATGGAGATTTAGGCAGCTGTCAAAACTGAACCAACCCTAATCTTAAAGATCTGAGCATTGCACTGATTGTAAAGTTGACTTCATAAGAAAAATTAAAGGCATCAGAAATTTTAAATGTATTGATGGATGGGTAGAGAGATAGATAAATAGACAAATATGTGATAAACAAAGATACTAAAATATTAATAGTAAAGTCTAGATGGTTGGTATGTGGGTATTCATCATGAAATTCCTGCAAGTTTTCTTTATGCTGGGACAATTCATAATATAAGTGGGAAATTTTTCTTGAACAAGTAAGGCAAGATGCTCACCTCTGGAGGACCCAAGGACCAGGGCAGAAATGCAGACATGGGGGTTAAGGCCAGCACCATATGCTTGTCTAGGGGAAACACAGTTATGGACCTGTCTATCTTCACTTGCCCTTAGAACAGGGAAGAATAGCAATAATCACCATCCTTTATGGGATCTTCGCTGTGCTAGCTCTTGAATAGGGCACTTCTCAAAATTCCAATAGCTGAGGCTCTCCAGCAAACCCACTTTACAGATAAATTAGAGAACTTATGTAACTCATCCTAGGTCCCACCCACCACTAGTAAGTTGGGGAGCTACGGCCTGACCTATCAGATAGAAAGAGACTCACCCACCTCCCTCTTCCACATTTCCTATGCTCCAAAGGGAAGGCAAGAGCTTTCTTACCCAGACTGATATTCAAGCCTAGAGCAGGGCTCCTGTGGTGAGTCATCAGACCCTGCAGCATTTTAAACGATTTCTTAATGGGATGGATTCCAGTGCTTAGGAGAGGACTATGAGGACAGAGGCTCACAGGATAAGCTCCATGAGGCAGGGACCGTGCTCTCTCCTGTTTCTGCTGTATCTCTTCCGGCAGCCCAGGAAAGCACAGGTATTCTATAAATAGGGATGAATGAAAGAATCAATGATACGTACAGAAACAGGAAACCAGGCCGGGCGTGGTGGTGCATGCCATCATTCCAGAACTTGGGAGGCTGAAGCAGGAGGATCGCTGTGAGTCTGAGGCCAGCCTGGCTACCACGTGAGCTCAAGGCCAGCCTGAACTGCATAGGGAGACCCTGTCTCAAAAAGACAAGAAATAGGAAACCAGCATTATAAATTCACAAGCAGGGAGGTGACTACATGACTAGAAATTCTACATCACTCTTACACCTCTCCAACTGTATTCTTGAGATTCTTGGGTTTGATCATTATTGTGACTATTATCATCACTGTTATTAGTTTGCTGATGCTGGAAGCATTCTTTGCACATTCTGGTGGTTTCCAGAAAATTTCAATTTGTGAACAGCCCAGACCTTGACTTCTGGAATATCTTCAGCAGTTGTGTGGGACAGCTAACTCACCCAATACAAAAAGTGAAGAAAGGGGTCTAGTGACCACTTCCCCTTTGCTGGAGAAACAGCAAAGATTCCAGTGGGAATAGCTGGAAAAACCTCTCCTTAGATGATTCAGCAGCCGAGAGGAGACAGCGCTGCTACGAGAGGCTGGGAGGGGGCCCAGGCCCAGTTCTGGGCTCCGGGGAAGGCAAGTCGGGCTGGCAGCTCTAGGTCCGATTCTCTCGGTGTCCCAGGCCTGCATACCCAGTGCACAGGCCAAGGAAAGGTGAGCCGCCCCTAAGGACAGCCCAGCCCTTCTGTGTTCTTCTTCAGTGCTCCTGAACGGGCCCAGAGCCCGTGTGCATCCTGGCACAAGAGGAATTGGGGCTGCAGAAGCGCATTTAACTGACAGCCTCCGGGCTGCCCTTGTCCCTCCCCGAGCAGGACCTCAGGAGGCTCCCGGTGGTTCCCACAGACCCTGCGGCATACCGTCTCCACCCACATCGTGCAGATGCTCAACTAAGATTTGGATTAAAGAACTCACCCAGCTTCCTCACCTGTATGAGGAGGAGCAAGAGGAGGCAGGACTGATGCCCAGACCAGGTTGTCCCCATGCCAGCCTGGTTATCTAGCATGGCGCTGGGGTTCTTTGTCCCTTGGTACTGGCCATGGAGGCCTCCTCCTACTACTACTGATGCCAGGGCCACTGGGCAACCGGACTTGGGCTTTCCGGTGCTGCTATGTAGGTTGCTGCCTCCTTTCCTAACTGCCAGGGTTTCCCCGAGATCTGATGTCAGATTTGTGGGTGGGAAGAACACGGCCTAGCTCTTGAGCACTCCCCGAGTCTGGGTAGAACAGCACTGCCCTTAAGTTCTTAGCACACTGGGAACGGCCCACGCTTCCTTCCTTGCTGCCATTTCCCTGTCACTTGTTAGGAAAGGGGTGCAGGATTCCCAGTGCGGCTGAGCCCCTGGGAGGGCGTAGGAGGGAGGTGACCTCTGAGAATCCCAGCACCAGGGTTCCCTTGCCTCTTACTTCATCATTGTTGACAAGCCAGGATCATGGTGCTGACCAAACGGAGACCCAAAGGGGGAGAATTCAGAGTTAAAACAAAAGTAGATTTAAGAACAATCTAGAGGGCTGGGGATTTAGCTCAGCGGCACAGCCCCTACCTTATAAGTGCGAGGTCATGAGTTTGATTCCCAGTACCAGAAAAAAAAATTTTAAAAAGCCAAAACAAAACAAAACAAAACAAAAAATCTAGCCAGGTGTTGTGGTGCACACCTGTAATCCTAGCTCTTGGGAAGCTAAGGTAGGAGGATCGCCATGAGTTTGAGGCCAGTCTGGCCTACACAGTGAGTTCAAGGCCAGCCTAAACTTCATAACAAGACCCTGTCTCAAAAAAAAAAAAAAAAATAGGGCTGGGGGTATAGCTCAGTGGCATAAGTGCCTACCTGGAAAGTGCAACATCCTGAGTTCAAATACCGCTATCAAAAAAAAAAAAAAATTAACTTGACAAAGTCAGGCAAAGAATATGGAGAGCTAGCATAAAATGGGAGCCGGAAAAGACAGAAAATTACTGTAACCATTTTGAAAGAACTCAATAACAGTTGGCAAGCCTTCACCTTCTAATGCTGGGGATGATAAATTATTCAGATGAAATAACCTTGACTTCCACTCACTGCAGCGCAAGAGTATTGATCCACCGTCACTAACCACAGAGCTTTTCTAGAAAGGTGTCAATGTGAAACGCAGGGGCGATGGCATTGCTGTCTCAGATGGTTTCCCTTCCTTTCCCAAGAGCTTGCCCACCCTCCCACACCCCTCCAGCATGGCCTGGTTTTCCAGCAGGTCCCTCGGCAACTGCACACCCCACATCTCCATGTGCTCCTTCTGGTGCTGAGGTCTGTTGCAGAAGATTGATTTAGAAGCCTCTGCCCTTATGCAGGGCCATTATCTAACTTGCAGGCCAGAGCCTTCTAAACGCTGATGTGCATAATAACTCTCCTAGGATCTTGTTACGATGCAGGTCCTGACCCACAAATTCTGGCTAAGGCTGGAGGTTCTGCCTTTCTGACTGGCTTCTGGGCGGTGCCAGTACCCTCGGTCCGTAGTTCAATCTTGGGCAGCAAAGAGAGGGTCATGAAGGCCAGGCCCCACTTCCTGGCCTCCCCTACCTGAGTCTGCCCATGAGTCACCCCGCAGAGGTCCCTGCTCATAGCCTCTGCTGCCGGCTGACAAGCCACACTGGGTTCTGCCCTGAGCTACCTGCTGTCTAATCCCCAGGATTCTCATTGTGATCATCTTCCGACCAAACTGCGTGCTGGCGGCTTCCCAGCCACTCTGCCTTTATCCTGCTGTTTCTTCTACCTGGAGAGTTCCTGCCCACTCTTTCAAAGTCTGGCTCGAGTGCTGTCTCCTCTGGGAAGCCTGATGAGTTCTTCTAGCCGCGTCTTCCTTCCTCCAGCCTCTGACATCACTGCACTGGCGCCGTCAGAGATGCAGTCGCTGTCTCTCCTGGGCATGGCCCTGGGACTGCGTCTGCACCGTGAATGCTTTCTGCACTTCCTCTGGGCAGGTTCTGGTCGGACTTGTGCTTGTGGCTTAGAGACACCTGTCACAGTGCTTTGTCACAATGCTCCGAGCCCTGCCCCGAGGCCAAAATCCGCAGACGCTGGAGTCCCCTGCACAGCCTGTGCACATTCACCTGCAGACTCTAAGTGAGCTCTGTATTAAGATATCTGCCAGTGCAGTTGCTATGTAAACAGCTGGGGTTGCATTGTCTGGGAAAGGGACATAGAAAACGTCCGCCTGTGTTCGGTGCAGGTACGATTTCTCCTCCCAAATAGACTTTTGTCTGCAGTCTGTCGAGTCCATGGATGCAAAACCCAAGGATATAGGAAGGCAACTGCAACAGGCACACACTGTGTGTGTGTGTGTGTGTGTGTGCATGTGTGTATGCACATGTGTGTGTGTGTGTGTGTTTTATGGGGGCCTAACTGAAATCAGTGAAATGCATAGATTTTGTTTGTTTGAAGCCCTGGAGATTGAACTCAGGGCCTTTGCCCTGAGCTACATTCCTAGCTCTTTTTATTTTTTGAGACAGGATCTTGCTAGTTGCCCTAGCTGGACTTGAACTTGTGATCCTCCTGCCTCAGCCTCCCAGAGTGCTGGTATACCAGGTGTGCACCACATACCCAGTTTAGATTCTAAGTGCTCTGTTCAGTGGGCTTTCCCCCCATGCAATCCTCACTCAGTCAAGATAGCAAACAGTGACAATAGCCCAGAACCAGCTCTCCTCCTTCACAGCCTACCTTCCCTCCCCATACCCCACCAGATGATAACGGCTCTGGTTGCCATCACCACAGATGGGCTCAGCTCGGAACTTGGAACATGGAACTTCGTGTAAGTGGAATCACGCAGGAGGTCCTCTCTGCCCGGCTTCTCCCACCCAGTGCCTCTGACACCACATGTGGGAGACAGCTCCTTTTTTTTTCTGAGGTAGGGTTTTGCTATGTGGTGGAGGTTGGCCTTGAACTAACTTTGTAGCTCAGCCTGGCCTCAAACTCAGGGTGATCCTCCTGCTCAGCCTCCCCAAGTGCTAGGATTATAGGCATGAGCCACTATTGCCCACTGGAGATGGCTCTTTAAAGGATTCACTAATAGTGGAGGGAAGCCTTGGCTATCTGTGATCATTCTGACTTGGGGACTTGCCTGAGTCTGGAGGTACTGGACAACAGGATCTTTTGACCCAGAGAAGTCAAAATTGAGGCTGCTCGTGTATTGCTTGCATGACCAAAGCTCTACTGTCCGGGGGTGGCTTCCGCCAAGCTGGGGCTTTGGCCGAAAGGAGACAGCAGATGGTAGAGAAGGGACCAAGCTGTGGCTCCGAGGACAGAGCGCAGCAGGTTTTATGAGTTGCTGGGGATGGAAATTTCCACTGGCCCCAGTGTGTTTCCGAGAGATATTTCTGGCTGTGGTGGACCCGGGGCCCCAGGCGGTCACTGTCAGCTCATTCTAGAGGTAGTTCATGCCGTCACCCTGAGCACAACATCCGCCTTGGGGCCTGGTCCCCAGAGAGGGCAGATGGACCTCAGGTGCGTTTGTGGCTTTGAAGAAACAGAGGGTGGGCGCAGAGAACAGGGACAGAGAGAAAGGAAACAGACCAGCGCAGTGGGCATCGGCCCAGCCAGCCCTGCGTGGCGCTCTCAGCCACCGTGTATGCGTGTGTGTTTAAATTTTATTGGTATATTTTAGATACATATATAAGGATCATGTTCGTCATAGGGAATTTGTACCTGTACGTGTTATATCTTGCTTCTTTTTTCCCAGTCCCCTCCTCTCCGTTCAACCCCTCTTCCCCTCCTTATTTACAAAAGCTTTGCTTCCTTTCTCCTTCTATGCTTATTCTCTTGTCCCTTCTTTCCTTTCCCCTCCCCCCTCCCTTGTTCCCCTTCTCATTTGAACATTTTCTTCCCATTTCCCAATGTCTATTTTGGTCCTTATTTACCCTTTTGTCCTTATTTACACTTTCAGTTTCTCACACGAGAGAAACAACGCGGTATTTACATGTGTGTCTGATTTATTCCACTTATGAGTGTGGTCTCAAGGCTTGGCCAACTTTTTAAATGACTAGTGTTTCTGCAGCAGAGCTGAGCAAAATGGGACCCAAGGGTCAGGAGAGCAAGGGGGACAGACACCAAGGAAGACAGACGCCAAGCCTTTCACCCCACTTCAGTCTCCCTCAGATCTCTGAGGGTGCAAGCGAAGAGAAGTCTGAGCTCTGAGCACAAGCGAGCTTCGGGTCCCAGGGAAGTGGCCCAGGCCGCTGTGTCCCCAGCCCAGCCGTCAGAGGCACTGTCTGCAGCAAGGCGGCGGGAAACTGGTGAGGTGACTTCAGGGTTACTGGCTTTAGGCTGGGTGAGAGCAGGTCAGGCTAGCGGGCTTGTTCAGAGGGCCACCGTTTACTGTGCCCAAGGGCTCACTTTGTCAGCCCAGCCTCTGTCCCATTGCTGGCCCACAGTCGCTGTCTCTCAGGGCTACTTGGGCTTTCTGTGCTTGCTCCCAGCCTGCTATGAGGCTGCTCAAAAGCCACCCGTGTCCCTTGAAGGCCTGTGCCCTTTCTCTGCTGTGTGGCTTCCTGTCCCCTCCAACAGGGAGCTGTCCCTAGCTGTGTTCCCACCTCCCAGAGGCCCCTCCGCTGGGCTCCAGCCTTCTGTGTTCCGGGAGGATGAGCTCCATCTGGGGATGTGATCTTCACTCTCACTGCAAATCAGCTTTTCTTTTTTTTTTTTAAGTTTTTCTCCGGTACCGGGAACCGAACTCACGACCTTGCGCTTGCCAGGCAGGCACTTTTGCCGCTGAGCTAAATCCCCAGCTCCAAATCAGCTTTTCTTCAAGGACAGGACCAAGTCATCTGCTGAGGCTCAACCAGCGTCACCAGCCCACGGCCTCCAGCCCTGTCCTGTGGCACAGAGCAGGTCCCTTCAGGAGGCAAATATGTGGGAGCTGCCGGGGGGAGGCTGCTGGCCCTGTGGGGTTCTTATGCTTGCTGCACCCCAAGAATTCTCACCTGACCTCCACTGCCCTCCCCTTCCATGCCACCTTTCCAAGGGATGCCGGGGGTGACCGCAAACAGACCCACGCTTGGTCTAGGCTGCGGCGCACATTTGGGTGATGAGAACAGCCCCAGCCATTGTAGGCTTCTTCTCGTCCTTTTTGTTATCTCACCGTGGTCTACATCAGAGTCACCTCCTCAGCCTTGGTGGGACAGGGAGCCGTGACCCACAGGCTAAAGTCCTAAATTGCTGCTGCACCCAGGCTTCCACCTCCAGGGGTCTCTGCATGGCCGAGGTGTAGGGAAGGGCCCTGCCCCTGCCCCCTGCCCCAAACCATCATCTTCCCCTGGAAAGAGCAAGGCCCGGCCAAGTTGCACGTGGGAGAGATGCCATCCTGAGTGCTCCCTGGGGACACACGTCTCTGACGGTGTGCCACTGCCCTAGGAAGCCGTGTGCCCTCTCCGCCTCGGGGAACCCCAGCCTGGCGGGCGCCGGGCTGCCCGGGGGAGCTGCGCACTCAAGCTCTTGGACTTGTGTACACGGCTCTGCTGCTTCAGTGCTGTTCTCCTCTCTGTCTACCCGGAGGGTGAGGTCGCGTCTGACCTCTCAGGTATCAGAGTGCTCACTGCAGAGCTCTGGGTGGCTCCTCACGGCACTTAGGGGAGGGAGCCGGGAAGGGGTGGTGCCCCCTCCCAAGCCTGTGGTGTGGTCTCTGATCTGCAGTGGACTGACAGGCCTGATGCAGTCATGTGCTGGGGCTGCGGGAACGAAGGACCACAGACTGGGCGACGGAAATGTTTCTCTTCTCAGTTCCAGGGGAGTCACCGGAGTCACTGGTCAAAGGAGTAGAGAGTTGCCTCCCCTTACCTTGTCTCCCTTGTCACCTCCCCGTGTCCCAGCGTCGTCCTTTCAGCCAGTCTCTGGCCTAAACCCCTCTCCCCATAAGGACACCAGTCATACTGGTAAGTCTTCGCTTATACAGCTTTTGTGCTAGCTCAGTTACCTCTTAACAGACAAACACAGTCACGTTCTGAGATGGGGTGAGGGGCAAGACTCAATATCTAAATTTTTGGTGGAACAAAATTTGGCCTGTAACACCTATCCAAAAATATTTTCCATTCCTGGGTAGCTGTATGTTTTAAACTCCTGGCAAAGATCCTCTGAGCTACAGTTTTGTTAAAGGGCAAATATTTTAATACAAGGGCAGATACAAAGAGTCATCCTCACCTGTTAGCATCGCAGCCATTTGGCCTTGTTGACTCATTAGCCAGCTGGTGCCAGGCCTGCGCCACGGCTCCAGGGCAGATTACTCGGGAACAGGATGATTAAGGAATAAACTGCAGGTTAGTGTTTTGCCCAAGAGCCAGGGCGAAATACAGTACTGGAGTGAATCATGGCTTTGGGAATAAGAGGGATAAACAATGCTGAAAGCATAAAGATGAGATTTACCTACTTCAGAATTGTGCTGGACACTTGAGTGAGAGAGAATTAAAAACAGGAATTTTGGATTTAAGCAAAACAGGATTCACAAGCTGCTATGATTTGGACATGTCTGAGTTGTTCCCCAGAGCTCTGTGTTCTAAAAGCTGGACCCCTCCTGTGGTGATGTTGAGTTGAAGGACATGGTAAGAGACAGGGATGGTGGGAGGTGAGTGGGGCACTGGGGCACTGGCCTTGGGAGGAATTCATGTTCCCGGGGGACCCCATTCGTTCCTTTGTGAGCAAGCTGTCATAAGCAAGCAGGCATCTCCCAGAATCTCTCTTCCTCTTGCGCCTGACCCCTCCATGTGCCATTGACCATGGTGGGTTGTGGCCAGGGGCCCTCACCAGAATGAACAGATCCTAGCTCCATGTTCTCAGCCCTCCAAAACCGTGAGTTAAATAAACCTATTTTCTATCTAATTACTAGCCTCAGGTATTTTGTAATAGCAACACAGAACAGACTACTACAGCAAGACTACAGACAGACTACACCAGCTGTGTGCCTCTGGGCAAGTTGCTTGAGCTACCTGGATCTCTGCCTCCATCCAGCACAGATGGGAGATTTCAGTGCCTACCTTCCAGGTGTGGAGAAATTGAGCTGTCCTCCCTTGTGCAGGTAAAGTGTCAGCACAGCGATGGTGCATGGTGTATGAGAAACAGTAGGTCATCCACTGCTCAAAGACTCCATCAGGAAGTTTGTGGATCTGAAGATGGCAAAAGACAATAGAGGTCCTGACTCTCTGGCTCCCCAGTGAATGGGAGTCTCCTCTTCATTCAGGGGTGCCCTTGGCACACCAGCTCTGGAAATGGATGATATGTGCTGTGGAAGGCCTGATCTTTTAGCACCAGTAAAAATAATGATTGCTCAGTGGAGAAAATGTTGCTGTGGCTCATTTCTGCCTGAGTCTGTTTTGTTCAGCTGCCCACTATAAACTGGTGGCTATGTGCCCACCAGCCTTGGGAACCTCAGAATGATGGCAAGTGGAGGGATGATCAACCGATGGAGAGAGAAGGTTCTTTCTGCTCACAGTTTTGGAGCTTCTAGTTCATGACTTGTTGACCCTGTTGCTTTTGGGTCTGCACAGGATAACACACCAGGCTGCCTGCCTAGTAGCCAGGGACCAAATGAGAGTGAGGAGAGGCTTGGGTCCCAAACTCCTGCCCAAGAACCAGCCCCATGACCTAGAGAGCTGAATGAGGCTCCACTTCCTTAAAGTACACAGCACCTCTCAAGAGTGTCACTCTGAGGAGCATGCCCTTAACACATGAACTTCTGAGGAGGGCTCAGTGTCCCAGAGATAAGGGGAATCCACATTCCCAGAGATCCAGCTTCTCTAATATTGTCCTCGTCTCTTCCGTAAGAAAGTGCTAAGCCAGTCTCTATCCACCAGCTGGGTTGTCTTTTCTTCTTTGGGTTGGGATGGGGGTGGCTGAAAGTAAAGAAGCGGGAGGGAAGCTCTGAGATCTAAGCATCACCAACTGTTCCTGGGTGTTTTTTAAACCACTAGTGAGTGAGTCACCATAATCCTGGGAAGAAATCATGATTTATAGAAACCGGAAGTGAGGTGTGGACAGCCTGATTGGTCACATCTCTCCTATTTGAACTTGGTTTGAACAGTTGGCCACTTATGATTGGCTGAGACCTAGCTACTTGTTAGGAGGGTACGTTATGGTCTGCTTACACATCAAGTTAGATTACAGTTCACTGCGTATGGAGAATCCATTAGGCCAAACTTAATATATGTATGGCAGCAGCTTTAGGCTAAACTTAATTCAATTTGAGAGGGGCATGTGAAATTTCTTACTAGTCAAGAATGATAAAGTAGAATACTGTAACACAATATCTTTTCCTCCCAACTGCAAAGGACATAGCCAGCCTTAACAGAGTCAGCCAGCATAGGTGATAGGGGCTTCAGTTTGGAACTGAACTCACACTGAGGGGCTCAGAATGCCCAGGAGGACCCTCCTGACCCAAGCAGGACAGCCTGGCCAGAAAGAGCCTGCAGAAAATTCAAACACAGAGGATTTGCTTTCTATGCCTGTGTAACAAATTACCTCCAAGTTACCAGTGTAGCCTTCTATTACCCCCGCACAGCTTCCATGGGTAGGAGTGTAGGCTCGGCTCTGCTGTCCTGGCTCAGAGTCCTGCAGGCTGTGATCCAGCGGCTGTCTGGGCTGTGGTGTCCTTGGCTGGGCTCTGAGACCTCTGCCAGCTCCCTGGCTGCTGTCCACACCTCACTTCCAGTTTCTGCTGAGGCTCCTGTGGCTGTGGGACAGAAGCCCTCAGCTCTCAGAGGTGGCCTGTGTCCCAGCCACTGGCCCTGCCCACGGCACAGTGGGGAAGTGTCTAGCACTGGTGAGTCCCAGTGGACTCCATCTCTGACCTCTGTACCCCTTTCCAAGGGCACCCCAGCTTGGTCAAGCCTGCCCAGGAAGTCTCTATTTTCACCAACTCACAATGGACTAACTGGGTCTGTGGTACTTTGGATCTGAAACATCCCCTAGAGACCCACATGCTAAAGGCTTGGTCATCAGCCAGGGCAGTGGAATCTTTAGGAGGTGGGGCCTCACTGGAGAAAGTGAGGTCATTGGGGGTGTGTGGCCTTGGATATCAGAACACTGGCTTTTCCTGCTCTTCCTCTGCCTCACTCCTTCCATGCCGGGCTCGGCTGCCGCAGACCCAAAGCAAAAGGGCCAACTGACCATGGACTGAAACCTCCAAAACCATGAACCAAAATAACCCCTTCTTCTTTACAGGTTGATTGTCTCAGGTATTATGTGACAGTGATGGAAATCCAACACAGGTGCCTTGGTTACTGTTGACGCACCCTTCACCATTGCCATACTGTGTAAAATACTCATGGGTGTGACATCCATCATGGTCACAGTTCTCTCCACACTCGTGGGAGGGGGAGATCCAGGCTGTGCCCAATGGGGGCCCAGGCCCGAGCTCTCCCTTCCACAGATGGTAAGTGGGACCAGAGAGCTCTGCGGGGTATAGTGGGTGCTAGCCAGAGACAGACCGATGAGCAGCATCAAGGAGATTTGTTGACAGTCAAACCCCAGCCTGGAACAGGACAGCCTCTGGGGCAAGGGTCAGAGAGGGCCGCTATCAGCCCATGCTCTGGCCAGTTTAGCTAGCCAGCTGGAGCCCTTAAAAGGCCAAGGTATGTGGATAAGGCAGGGACAGTGTGGGTGAAGGAGGTGACCTCAGGATGGTCAGATCCTACAAGGCTGGGCTGACACTGCTCCAGTCCCTGTGGCCTTGGGTTTGCTTTCTGCTCAGATCCAAGGTAGGGCTGGGCTACAACAGCCCCTGATATGCAGAGGAACAAAATGCCCAGGCCAGGATCCACTGGCTTCAGGCAGAGGCTTCACTCCTCTTCCAAGCCCAACTGAAGTCACCCAGACTACATTCCCAAGAGTCAGAATGTCTGTGCTCAAAGGGCAATTGGAACCAGACCTCAGAGAGGGCCACAGAGCAGTCAGCACAGCAGTGCTGCATGTCACTGAAGCTCAGGGCATACGACCTTGTATGTGACTGTCTGAGGTCTCATCCCCTGACGGCTGAGAGCTCCACGGGGTGATCAAGTCAGGAAATCAGGCGGGGTCACAATCAGCACTTACCACAACCACCTCCACCTCTGGTCACTGGGGTCTGTGGGTAGGGGGAGGCTCACTCCTGGACAAGATGGGGTGACAGGAGGTTACAGGCACCCAGGAGAGTAGAATGCAGGAAACTTAGTTGCCAGAGGTTCTTTGGAGGTGGAGCCTTAAGAAGGCAATGGGATTATTGTCATGGTGTCATGAGGGCGGCCTTTACTTCTCCTCTGCCCTCCTCCTGAGGATTCTTGGTAGAAAAAAAAATCTTACTGTTCTTCTTTTATATCATCTCTCTTTTCTATTTCTGAACTCCATCTTGTGCTTTTTTCTAATTATTCCCAGGAAGGAAGAAACTCGAAATTCACATATGTTGCATCTGAAAGTCTGTTTCCAGGAGGGCTGGTGGAAGGAGCGCGAGGAGACTTTCTCCCCGGGAGAGCAGCTGGGAGAGGATTTCTGCCTCATTCCTCCTTCACACAGGGGTATTTAGGATGGGTCTGCGGAGAGCACAGCCAGCCACGGTTCATCTTCCTGTTGACTGTGCTTGCACCAAGAAACAGAAGTTTAAAGAAAGCATTTTCTAAAATAAAAACTAAGTCCCTCAAAAGTATAAATGTAAGTTGTTAGATTTTATTAAACCAGAGCAACAGAAGACCTTCGTGAAGAAGTTTATTGCCACTTGGTTAATTGTGAAATGGCTTGGGCTTAACTGCAGAAGCCTAAAACTCTCAGGTAGCTGTAGTTTCCGTGTGTGGCAGAACTCTTAGGAAGGAAGGGCTTCCAGGTACAGCTAGACAAGCAAGAAGTGTCCATTACTATAGCATTGCAAGTAAGTGAATAATAAAATACTTGAGTGTGAATTTAAATTTAGCAGAAGTGCAAAACCTATGCTCTGAAAAGCAAAAATATTGCTGAAAGAAATTAAAGACCAAAATAAGCAGAGACGTCTCCTGTTCCACAGTCAGAAAGCAATGACACCCAAGGAGGTTTCCAGAGCGACTCTTCAGTCGTCATCGAAATCCCAGCTGGGCTCCTCTCACACACTGACGGGATCATTCTTAAAATCCTCATAGAAATGGAAGAGACTCTGAACAGCCAAAATCTTGAAGAAGAGCAAAGTTAGAGAACTCAACACTTAAACAAACTATAATAAGCAAGGCAATGTGTTACTGGCACAAGGATTGACGTGTGGGGTAGAGTTGAGATTCCAGAAATAAACTTAAACAATTGATTTTCAGAAAAAGTGCCTGGACCATTCGATGGGGAGAACAGTCTTTTCAATGACAGGTTCTGGACAACAACAACAATGTAAAATAATGAAATTGGACGCTCCTCATCCCACCATGTATAAAAACTAATAGAATGGATCAAATCTAACTGTATAAGCTGAAACTGTACAAGCTGAAATCTAATTGTAGAAGCTGAAAACTATCATAATCTCAGAAAACAAATTAGATGTAAATATTCATGAGCTTAGACTGGGCAATAGTTTTTTAGCTATGATGGTTAAAGCACAACCAAACAAAGAAACCAGAGACAAACTGGACTTCAAAATTTAAAACTTGTCTTCAAAAAAATTTTTTTCAAAAGCCAAAACACAGCAGGGGAGATAATATTTGCAAGTCATACATCTTATATGGGATTGATACTTAGAATATAAAGAACTGTTATAACTCAAAAGCTACATATGTCCAATTTAAACGGGGTCAAGGATCTGGGTAGACATTTTCCAAAGAAAATATGCAGATGACCCGTAAGCATATGAAAAGATGCTTAGGGTCCCTAGCCAAGGGGGGTGCAAACCAAAACCAGGAAGAGGCACTACTTTGCATACACTACAACAGCTGCGATCACAAAGACAAATAAGGAAGGTGTGGCAGGGATGTAGAGAATGGGACTCCTCACAAAGCGCCCTGGATCGAAGGACAGCTGCCTGGAGGCAGTCCGCGGCCGCTCAAAGGCTTTGCCAGCCTCAAACCATTCACACTGCTGCTGTGGGGCCAGCTGGCATTTCCTCCAGTGGTCACATGTTGCCAAGTGACCAACAAGTCCGCTCCCGGGACCACACCCAAAAGTAAAGAAAGCATATGTCTGTACAAAACTTGCATGTGAATGTCCATAGCAGGCCTGTTCAGAGCAGCCCGGGACCGGACAGCCACTTCTCAGATGGCACGTTAGCACTGCATGTGGGCCCTGAGCTTGGCGAGGGATGCTGGCCCCTGGAACTTGGGTTTTCTCTCCACAGCCTCTCTGTGAGCTATTGGGCTCCTCACAGCATGCCCCTGGGCTCCAAGAAGAGGAAGGAGATCCCCAGGGACAGGAAGCGGAAGCCACCAGTTTCCTTGGGTCCAGGTCACTACTCCTGCATCTGCTCAGCTATTGGCCAAGCAGTCACAGAGGCTACCATCAATGGCAGGGGACACAGACCCCCAACCCTCGATGAGGTGAGTTTTAGACTCTCTCTCACTGAGCCACCAGCATCTCAGCAGCAGCTCGGCCCCGACGTAGGAAACTTAAGACCTGGTTGCAGGGGCCTTGGCTCAGGGACTGGGCCCCTGTGGCCCTGGGGTCCTGAGCTCCAAGTGTTGCCGCAAACTCCTCACCACCAAAGAACCCCGAAGCACTCAGAGAGGTGGAGGGAACCAGTTTCTCAGGCCAGCAGGCTGAGGCACTAGGTGTTCTAAAGTCTGAGCCCTGAGCGAATGCATGGCTGAGTTACAAAAGCAGAACAGGCGCAGGTAGACATAGGGGTTTGGGCGCGGGCTGTCAAGCAAGATAACAGAAGCAGAAGTCACGTTGCAGTTAGATAGTCGTTTTGTGCAGGCTGGCCATTTTGGTCTTAAGCTTTGTTTTTTAAAGGTTTTATTTTCTTTCTCATAAGCACTGTCCCGGGGAAATGTGCTCTGGTTGTACCCACTACTGTGTGCCTTCCTCCTTCCTTCAGCTTTTTACACTGTAGTCTTAGTCTGTGTCCCGTTGCTATAATAAAATGCTCGGGAGAGTGTATTTATAATACATGACTGTACCGGAGTCCATGGCTCTGGAGCCGGGGACTCCAAGAGCCCGGCATCTGGTGAGGGCCTCCTTGCTGCATCAAAACGTGGCGGTGGACATCAGAGCACCAGACAGACCAGCATGCTGGCTCAGCCGCTCTTTGTCCCCTTATAAAGCCGCATCTGGTCACAGGTGGGGCCTTTCAGAAGTGGCTGGACCTAGAGTGTGATCCTGGGATCAAGGCTGTGTAATTATTACATTAGTCCACTGATTGGTTTGGCATAGTTCTGGGTGTGGACAATGGGCTGGTCCACCCTGGGTATGGGTGTCACCACCCAAAGGGCAGGGAGCCTGGAAAGGATAAAAGGAGAGGCAGGGGGCAGCTGCTGCTTCCTCACTACAAAGAAGGCTTTGCTGCCTCTGCCCTCCATGAACTGTTTCCCTCTGTGACGCTGCTCTGCCTTGGAGCCAGCCAACTGGGAACTGAAACCTCTGCAAACTGTGAGCTACAGTAAACTTTGCTCCTTTAACTTTGGGCGTCAGGTATTTTGGCTCAGTAACATGAAAAGTCACTAAGACAACCCTTAAGATGCCTCTGCTGGCTGCGGGGGCTGGGCTGCCACTGGCTGGGCTCTCTCCAAGGTGGTGGAAATCTTCCATTTAATTCAAAGTAACTTTTGTGGCTGACATGAAATAATGACTGCTTTTTAAGAAAATAGTTTATTCTGAGCCAAACGCGAGTGAGCAGGTCCCAGGAGCAGGGATCCCATTGCTTGGCCCCCTGTGGAGGAGGTCGCATGAGCTTTTACGGTCACAGGACAAAGGAAGGTGTAAATCAGTGTTTTCCCAGCCCCACCGCGGGAGCATAGGGCAGGCAGCGGCAGTGAGGCGGAAAATGGTTCCGGCAGGTGTCAGGGGTAGTGGCATCCTGGCCCTCCAAGCTGGGGGAGCCTGGAAGTCCCCTCGGCTTGGCAACACATTCCAGGCACTTACTCAGCCCTGAGAATGAATCATATATCAGATGCAAAAATGGGAAGTCAGATACGAAAGTTAAAGTAACTGGTTACTAAAAGGGCCTAAGACAGGGCAAAGTAACGCGGCTCTCAACCTGCCATCTTCCCTCTCTCCACAGTTACAGTGGTCGAGCTGTCTGCAGCATCTTCAATACAGATATGGCCTCTTCAGAGAATGCAGGCTCACAGTCTAACAGACAAATTTTAGGGCACAGTTTTGTGAGTTCCTTTCAATTATCTCTCTCTCTCTCTCTCTCTCTCTCTCTCTCTCTCTCTCTCTCTCTCCAGACAGGATCTCGATATGTATTCCAGGCTGGCCTTGAACTATGTCCAACCTTGTCTGAACTTGCAGAAATCCTCTTGCTTCAAGTGCTGGGGTTACAAGTGTGAGCTACCACATCTACTTTTTATCACTGTTTTAGAAGTTCCCTTCAATTCTGGCATATAAGGTACAGATGCTCATGGACTTATGATGATGTGACATCTCAATAAACCTACTGCAAATTGAAAATATCACAAATCAAAAATGCATTTAATACACCTATGTGACTTCACCCTCTGACTTAGCAGCCCAAATACTGTGGATGGGCCAGAGGCTCCTGCAGTCCACACTGACGCCCAGCACCTGGGAGAAGATCATAGTGTGTATCACTAGTCCAGGAAAAGATCAACATTTGAAATTTGGCATGTGGTTCCTACTGAATTTGTGTCACTTTCACACCATGGCAAAGTAGAAAAAAGCTGCAAGTTTAGCTGTGTGTAAGTAAATTCCTAGGGAGCCCATCCTCCACCAAGTGGCTCAGCAGCTGCTAGGGAGCTGTCTGTGTGTCTTACATTTCGTTGGTGGTTGCTTTTAAATCTTGTTCCAAAAGAATGTTCTGTAAATCTTTAGGAAATTCACTACTCGATGAATTTGAATTATAAATTATAAAACAACAATAACTAAAACTGTGTGGTATCAACGCAGGAAACATACACTGGTGGAACAACTGAGACACTGAAACACAGCCCCGGAGACAGACAGGAGCTTGGGACAGGATAAGGTTGGAGTTTCAATCTGTGGAGGAAAAATAGCTTATTCCATAAATGGTGTGGGGGAACTACCTAGAAAAAGACAAACTATGGAAAGTTCTAGAGGGATTGGAAATGTGTGTTAGAACAAATGGGATCTTTCAGGCAGCAGAGGGAATACCAGGCAATCTGTTCTGGTGATGTTAGAAAAGAGAAGAGTGTCTATATATGATTAAAAATCCAGAGCCTACATCCTGCATAATAAAGGAATTGGCTGGCTCTGGTTCCTGAGAGGTGACCCCAAATCCTTGGACTGTCCTGGGAAGCAAGGAGGCTTTTGTCACCCCCCTCAGGCCCTGATGGTTTGTGAGAACAAGGTGGCTTGGAGGGCTCTGATGGTTTATGAGAACAAGGTGACTTGGAGGGCCCCGAGGCAATGTGTTGAAGGAGGGGACTCGGGATGCCCAGCCCTACAATTAGAGGCTGGAGCCTGGAGCCCAGGGGATTCAGCCCGACCTCCAGGGAGGGCAAGGGGGCAGGAAATCGAGTTCAACACGTGACCAACAAATCAGTCAGTCGCACCATGAAAAGCAACCAATAGAAACTCTGGACCCGAAGCTCAGTGCCCCGCCCTAGTTGACAACTCTGTATTATCACACATTGATGTGCCTGCCAGGAGGTGGATGCCCCCTGACTCCACAGAGGCCGAGCGCCAGGAGTGCGGCAACCGACCCCACTGTCCGCTGCAAATATGTCTCCTTTCTCT